TAGAAGAAAGTATTCTTGCATTGAGGGAGTACTTGAGTGGAGGCCCAATGTCCTTCTGCTACCTTAATACTAAACCTATAAATGTAGGCTTATAGATCTATTTCCCCATCCTCATATTCATTATAGTTCTTATAAATAAATCCACTTTTCCTGGTCTAAATATTTGCTTACACTTTTCTCCTGCCCCACCCATTATCTCTGCTCTCTCTCTCTCTCTTTCCTTGTGGAAATCTATTGATTCTGATTAGCATTAATCTTAGAATTATTTCTTAAGATACATTTTCCTATTTTTAATCATCTGTTGATCTATCCAGATGGTCACTTGTTATTACTGTCATTACTTTTATTTTACTCTCTCCTGTCCACCCCATCACCCCCACTCTCCCCAATTGCCCACATCTCTCCCCTTTACTCCATTTCACAGTGATATGTTTTCTGGCTCTATTAGACTCCAAGATGAATAACATTATGAGAGACAAGAATGGGCACTACATAATGATTAAGGAACATATAACCTCAGTAAACATATTTGCACCCAATAAATAAATAAATAAAATTCTTACAGTCGAAATTAACAGCTCAGCATTTTTAGCAGAAGACTTCAACACACCACTCTCCAGAAAAGACAGATCATCAGGAAATAAAGTCAGTAAAGAAACAGAAGAACTGAACAACACAATCAACCAGCTGGAGCTCCTCGACCAGTGGTTCTCAACCTATGGGTCACGACCCCTTTGAGGGTTGAATGGCCCTTTTACAGGGGTTGCCTAAGACTATCGGAAAATACATATTTCCGATGGTCTTTGGAACCGAGACACTGCTCCTCTAGCTGTCTCCAGGCGGGTCTGGCCACATGCAGACATGCTACACCATGCTTCAAGACAAAATTTCATTTATTTGTAATTAGAAATAAATATTTCACAATATATAATTACATATTGTTTTGTGATAAATGACTATGCTTTAATTAGGTTCAATTTGTAACTATGAAAATCCATCCTGCATATCAGATATTTACATTATGATTCATAACAGTAGCAAAATTACAGTTATGAAGCATTGGCAAAAATAATTTTATGGTTGGGGGTCACCACCACATGAAGAACTGTATGAAAGGGTCACGGCATTAAGAAGGTTGAGAACCACTGTCCGAGACATTTACAGAGCAATCCACCCAACAACAACGTAGTATATATTCTTCTCCAGCACACATGGTACATATTCTAGAATAGATCACAGGATAGGTCACAAAGCAGCTTCAACAAATTTAAAATCATTGACATCCTAGGTAAAGGCAATTATATTTTTGTTGGCGGGTAAACCAGGTGGAGTAACCTCTCAAGGGGGAAAACCGGTTAACATTCCTTATATAGAACCTCATATTTCCATACAGAGAATAAGTACTACGTTCCTAAATGGACATTTTTTACCTAGCTTCTATCCAGCCCTTGGTGACCCAGGCTATGTGCTATATATATAGACGACTGCAACTTTAGGCTCTGTCTTTGGAGGTTCACAATATCCTTCCCGACCACACCAGTAGGATTTGGTGTGGAAATTCCACTAAGCGAACTGGGCTTGATCTCAAACGCACTTGTAGCAGAGTTGAGAACTGACATACTCCCTTGGACTTAAGGTTAAAATATGCAGTGTGAGAAGCACAGATGACTGCTAGTCAACGGCCAAAGAATGGGTAGTCATTGGCCAAGGAACGGGTAGTCATATCTCTTGTTTTGAGGATGCCCAATGAATGGTGGCCCAGGACTACCATATATTTATCATTTTAATACTTTCCTTGCTTTCTTATGACATATATTAGTCTGATAGTCATGGTTTTGAATGTTATTGATAGTCATGTGAATGAATGTTATTGAAAGTTTTGT